CAGCTTTAAGGTTGTCCTGTCACCCTACTGCATGTATTTGAACTCAATCCAGAGCACGAATCTGCAATAAGGTCACACAGGGAAAGGTGTGGGCAGCAATGGAAACACTTCAGGTTTCCACGCAGTGGTGGGTAACAGCTACTGAACCAGGGGACTGAGCCTCCTGCTCAGCCACCTCCTGTAAGCACCTGGAGCCACATCTCCCAGCCACAGAGGCTCAGCTCTTTGTGGGTGTTGATACAGAGCAAGGAGCAATCGATTCCCAGTTAACTGCTCATAGAAAGACCAGTCAGACGTCACAGGGGTGTAAAGACGCCTGGTCCTGGCTCCGCCTTTGTGCAAACCCTCTATTGACAGTGGAAAGTTTTGCTCATCTTTGCAATTCACAGATCTGGAGACATCAGAACAAGTAGTTGAGCCAACGCTCGACATGGGGATCCTCGACACGTGCTACAATTCACCACTGGTGTTCTCGTGGCTCGGTGCTACCTGAAAGACCAGCACCTGAGACAGGACTGCAGCATCGCTGCACAAGGCAGAGCTTTAAAGCTTCCAGTGGGAGACAAATATCCTGATATTTAAGCTGCATTTTTACCTTGAAAAGCAATTTTCAAACCCATAGAGCGATGTGACAAGCCTCACTGAAACCACGTGGACTGAGTTAGCAAGGAAGATGCTTCCACCCACCTGCCAGCCCTGGGATTCAGGTCAGATAAATCTCCTTTCACTTCATCATCGTCATGGTTCAAAATTGTTCTTCAGGATAATCCAGGTCTCATGTATACTTGCAGGAACTCTTATGGTTTTCAGAGCGTGCAGGTGGTGGTATGTAAGAAACCTGATGGGCCTTCGGTGGGTTTAGTTGAGAATGGTAATTTGTGGTCTGAGCACTTGCAGAAGTACAGCCTGGTACCCAGAGCCCAAGCGCTGTAGGTTCGACCAGGCGTGCTGTACTGCTGCGTGGGCTTCCTCTCTTCCCAGTAAAATTTCTAATAAGGCTATTGGGAGAGATGAAAGAGAAAAGGCGAGCACCCCAAGTCTCCTTTAAGTCCTTCTCCAAAGTCTTGGGCAGGAACGATTCCGGCTTTGAAGCAGGGGACCGTACCCAGAACCTCCTGCTCTCTCTTACTACGTTTTGCGGGTTAATATTTTAATGCGGATTGCTCTGTACGGAGCTCTCGGTGATACGTAGCTCCCAATTAACCTAGGGATGATTCAAAAAATGTATTTGTTTCCAAGCAGACATTAAAAACTTCATAAGAAGGTAACAAATACACAAGAAAGGGAAGAAAACGGGAAGGCTTTGGTTAGAAAATTAAAGTTGTTTGCCATGGCTTGATGGCTTAATCAGTCGATCAATATTGTTCACAGGGCAGGCAGGGAGGGAGCCATGAGCTGTGATGAAAAATGCATGAGGGGACAAGGGAGGCCTGGGAGTAGAAAATTAAAAAGTCAGCCTGTTACATTTGTCCAATATTGGCAGAGAAATTAAAGTGGTTTGGGAGGGGTGCTGGGAGGGAAGAGGGGAGCCGGCTGCAATGTGCACTGCGGATCTGCTCTGGGTTCCCTTCGCAAGAGAAACTTTCACATTAATTAAGTTGCTTTCTTAGCAAAAAGATGGATTTTGTAACCTTTAGCACTTGCAATCACAGTAGGTGGGGTTTGCACATGGGAAAATAAAATGGGATTTCTTCCCATCAGGGATGCAATAGAAGACCCCAATGCGTGTTCTGATGAGGGCGATACCGAGGCGACACTCACGGGGTGAGGCGATGCACTTCTCCTGCAGCGTGAGGTGAGATTAATGTGTGGTTGGACTAGAAACAACAAGGCTGGAATGATGCAGCTCTAAAACACGCAACCTGAGCCACCAAAAGCAGCACTGTTATTTCTGCATGTAGATTAGTTTCCTTTTCTCTCTTAAATTTGGCTGCGTCTGGTTCTGCAGCAGCGCTTGCCTTGCAGAAATAAACATCAGGAGCAACGCGGTTCTGGAAGATGCTCTAGAAGAGGCGAGAGCCACCACTCTCCAGGGATCGTGGTCCTCGCTGTTTATCCTAAAGGTCTGAGCTGTTTTAAAAACTGCAACAAACTCCAATGATAACAAAAATGATCGAGATCGCTCATCCTGCAATCAGACTGCATTTTGTCACCCATCCCTTTTAACGAAGGGTAGAAAAGAAAAATAACACTGTCCACTAACTGAGCTATGAAGCTGAAGAACACCACCACCAAAACGCTGTGTTGTGAGAATGGCATTTTAGTTAGAAACCATCTCCCATCTTCTGTTCCTCGCATTCAAAACCCGGAGCCAGCTTCTGCTTGCCTTGGAAATCCACATCTTGGCAACCATCAGGCACTGGTCACCGAGCACTTGGACCTCCAGGACAATGAGCAGACAAGCACACACTGCAGCCAAACTGCTGAAATTCGTGAGCTTTAGAAGAATTTGGACAGCTGAGTTCCACTCCCCAAAATGGAAACATTCCAACCTGTTGCACTCGAAGGCTCGCAGGGACAGAAATCACTGTATCTCCCAGGGCCTCTAAAGGGGAGAAGATTCCCCCCTACCGCAGTTTTCTGGAGAAAGGACCATGACAAACAGGTTTGCGTAGCGCTTCTGTACAACAATTATTTTTGTACTGAGGTACCTACAGTGAATTTTATGGCTCTCCACCAGGCTCGCCAATTACGGGTTTCAAATTTCAGGCTCAATTAACACACAGACTGGCTGATGCTGTTTTCCGCAACTAATTATCTCCAACTGCCCAGACATGATTCCACATACGATACTTTTGTGAACTTCAGGATTTGCTTTCTACACCACTATTTAAGCATAAACAGAATGGAGCAGACAGCAGCATCTAAAGCAGGTTGGATACCGTATTCCGACCTTTTTATTAACAAAAACCTGCTTACGCTGTGGGAAAGCCAGGCCTTCTAATTGGCACAGCAACGGACGGATGGCAGAGCCGCTCATTTACCAGGCGCTTTCTCATCCGCGATGCACACATCGTTCTGTCTTGGGTGATCTTTGTCCCGAGAAGGCTACTGGGGTCAAACAGCAGCACAACAAGTCTTCATTAGGTAATTCAATGGCAGCCAGATTTGAAAGGGCCGTTATCCCACTGCTATGGCACTGGTTCTGTTTGGTGACTGGGATAATTAAACAAACAAAAAAAAAAGTTGGAAAAAAAAAAAAAGAATAAGATCTCACCAACATCCTCAAACAAGCACACGGTCATTCTTCATACACAATGTTGTGCCTCCAAAAGAAGTCATAAGTGCATATTTTCTTTCAAGTTCCTCTCTCTTTTACACGGGCCAGTCTTGCAGAGATTTCTATACCTAGAAAGCTGAAATTCCCACATCACACGTTGTCCTTGCAGGAAGGAGCTCTTGGGAGCTCAGTTTTTTATGTTACCAACAAACACAATTAATACACTACCACACGAGTACGAGGTGATACTCAAGTTTCTTAATTTTTCAGTTTCCACAGCTATCAAATGGGCTCTTCATCAATGCTGTAGGTTCAAATGAAGTTAAACAAGTGCTTTAAAAATCTCTGAACACCTGATTTCAATCAGCTGCAAAAAAAAAAGGGTCCCTCTCCTCCCTGCTGTTTGTGTCCTCCCTGCCCCCTTCTTTTTATTAAATGTGTTTAATTTCGCTCACCCTTCCTTGCTGAAAACCAAACCAAACCTTGCCACCACCAAAGCCTCCAAGAGGAGTGTCTCTTCTTTCTGCAACACAAACCTTTCACATAGGCAGATGGGACCTTGAAAATCAGTCTGCAGCACTACACCTCAGTGTTGATTTATTTGAAGATTAACCCAGTGACAAAGCATCTCCAGACCTCCCCATATCAGCTTCCAAAAGCAAACTCATTACCAAGCGCTTGTGGCTTGTAAAGGAAACAAGGGTGTGCTAGTGGGAAGGACAGCTGAATTAATCAAATTGGCTACCAGGAGATGACAGATAAAACACACAGTCCTCAAGAAAATATCAGAGAAGACATTTAACCCCAGGCCAGTGAGCATTCAGCTGGGACAGGACCAGGGACCCTCCTGGTCTTTGGGCAAAGGAAAAATGACTGGTGTTCGTGGAAGCTGAACATTCCCATCCGTTCCAAGTGGAACAATTACTGAGAGGGATCTTACTCTTCACCGGTGTGTCGCGTTAAATCAGTTCGGATAGACGCTGTATGTGTCTGCGCTGCAGAAGCTGTGCTTTAGGGCCAAATTATTTTACTACTTTCAGTTCTAAAACATGACGAATTACACACACTGTCACTGCTCATCACGCGTTTTCTAACCACTTAATACATGCAGATTTTGCTAACATTTTTCATTATCATTTTAGTAAAGGAAAACATCTGTTTCCCCTGCCTTAGAAAGTACATTGCATCTTCCAAGCTGCCATGTCTTTTGAAATTCCATGTTCAATCAACGCCATAATCTCTTCCAGAAAAAGACCAGCACTCAGATAAGCAGCCTTGCAACAACCACCCCCCACCATATCAGCATGCATGTTTAAAGGCTTCCAGTTTTTCTAAAGATAAGAGCACTGCTGAAAAATCCACACCAAAACTGAAGATGTTGTTGATCAAATAATGAAATAAATGGCACAAATTCCAGAATACAAAATTTATTTCAAGCTTATAAAAGTCTTCAACATTGCAAGTTCTGTCACGAAACACAAAATGTACACTGGTATTTTCATTAACATTTAGAATAATGATTATTACTGTCAGATCTCCTCGGACATATTTCAGCTCAGAAGCGAAGTGATCACACACAGCTGCTCACCATCTTCTTCAACATACATTAGTCTCACATGTGCCTTGCACACTGATGGCTTTTAAATAGTTAAATGTAATAGTGCAACCTCCCTACTTAACACGGGATGAAAGGTTCAGATATGGAACCATCTATTAAACCATCAGCTCTCTTCCGAGCCCCACAGAGCGTTCGGTCCTCGTGCTGCCAAGGGCTGGGCTACTATTGCCTGCAAGTGTCGTGAAAAGCTTCAAGCGTTCGGAAATCCCTCCACGTGGGTGGCAGGCCATCCTGCAGAAACTTTCCGCAGCGCTGGCACGGAGCCTGGAACAGCTTTATGTAACTTCTTAACCAGGTCTGAAAGGAAAAGGGAGAGAAATTAAGAAGACTGGATATGGATGTTCCCCTTTGTCATCATTCTTGTCAAACAGGGATAGCAAGGACAGAGAACGTACTTTGGCGAGGCCCCAGTGAGGTAACAGTGATTTTATAAACAGAAACATGCCCAAGATTACAAGGTCACTGTATAGCTGAATTCCCACTTTATTAATCATCTTCTGCTTTTTCAGTCACTTAAGCAAATTTGTTAATAGAAATTCATGCACTCTGAGCAGGAGGTATTCGCAGCTGGAGAACCATGATGGAAGGCAACTATTGTAACGCTCCTCATATTTTTACTGGAATATAATTGTTCTTGATGGGTACCTTCTTCAATAGAATATTGGTTTGTCTCTTCCTATGATCATCTATCACACCCCTACTGCAATCATACTGCAACAGTCTCAACTCTCATAGCTGAAGATGTAAGGACTTTCACAGCAAGCTAACTAACTTCCTCTCTAATGCAATTTTAAGATCAATACTCATTGGTCATGGAAATACTGTACCATTTTAAATCTAATTACACTGACAAATACATATATATAAAAGGCTAGTGCTGAACAACACAGAGCAAGTTCAGGTGCTCCTAGGTAAAGTTCCTGCCTCTGAAGTGGATTGTTCCCATTGGCATACATAGCAACGAGCATTACATAACGCAATTCCCAACTCAAGGAGATACACAACTGAAAACCACCTAGACCAGCAGATTTATACCGTGAAAGATGCACATGAATCTTGTCATTTAAAGTCCTATTGAATTACATCGATAAGAGAAAATTGTTCTCCGAAGAAGAGGTCAGCCGAGTTTATTGAAACAAATCCTTCCATCTTCATCAGAGCTTTCTCTATAGCAACCAAATCTTTGGCCGTCAATAACTCTCCTCCAAAAGAACTAGATGGTCTCTGGGTTTAGCAGTAAATACGGGGACAAGGGCAACAGAACACTACAAGCAAATTGCTGTTATTTACTTCAGCTTGGATGGGCTTTGCTTGCTCTACAGAGAAATCGAATTTTCTGAACCGTAACACAAAAATAGGTAAATGAAGTTAAATTGTGCACTTGAGACATCTGTTGAAAGAAAAAAAAATGTTCTTTACTCCCATGAAGAAAATTAGGGCTTCACTACATCCTGTCATGTGGATTGCACAACTGACATGTGAAAGGACCAACATATTGACACTTCTGGTGTACATCTGGCTTTGCTTTGTTAAAAGTTTTAGTAGTGTTTTATCAAATCAATAAGGCATGTCCGTGGCTTAAACAAACGTGCTACTCATTCCATTAATTTTCAGAAACATGCTGGAACATGGATTTAACCAGTAAGAGTTGCTTCCACCTTTCAAAACCTATTATTTTAAGATTCACTCCACGAGAAGAGACCTTTGCAAATCTCTCATCTTAACGGCCTTTTTATTAAAAAAAACAAACCAGCACAGCAGGTAAGGGAGTGTGACTGATCTGAAATGACGCAGTGGAAATTGAAGACACAAAAGACTCAATGCTACTGTACACACCTAAAAATTACAAATGGCAAAATTAAATGTTTGTTTTTAAAAGTCTCAGTTAGGTTGCTCCAGGGGAAGGGGTAACGTCGTGGAAGTAAATGAAGCAAAAAGTCTGAGGAGCAGAGATGACTTCTCCCAAAAGCCTCCTCAGAGACTGCAGCAGAGAGAACAGCAAGAGTCTCCACTGCCAGATTCATCTTGGTAGAAGGAATTCTGAATCATAAACCCTTGTTCTCATCCTCTGATTAACAAGCTTATTTTGCAAATAAAATTCTAAATACAAGCAGAATTAAAGGTGATAAACTTAAATCTGCATATCAAGACATGGCGGTATTCGATTTATTTTAATCAGTAAGAAAACAGCTCAATACTTCAGCAAGCATTTCCTCGATTCTCAGGAGAACCTGCCGTTGTGCAGGGCGAGTACCTGCAATTCCTTAGGAACAAAGTGTGGGCTGAGAGTGGATATAGCGAAGTGGACTCTTCCCTGTCACGTTCTAGCCTCTCATTATTTCCCAAATAACACACATCTCTTCCCATACTGGACAAGCTGACAAGCAAGCTGACTCATCTGGAATACAATAACTAGGAATTTCTTCTTACTGGGCAACTTCCAGCAGAGCAGACACTCTACATCCAGAACTCAACTCCTCGCACAGTGTGAACAGTGTGGAAGGGCTGGGCCACAACAAAGAATTTGGTTGATAAAGAGTTCTTCCTGCTACCTTTAGAGATGACCTAGACTAGCTTCGCAAATAGGAATCATCAACCTAATATTGATAACTGTGACAGAAGAACCATATACAGCTCAGTCTTCCAACACCAATTATCCCAAGATAACGAGAATGAGCTCTTCATCCTTGTCGAGGTATCAGATACAAAGAATGACAGTCATGCTCTACTGTCCAGCTTGTCTAAATAGGTGAAATTACAACTGCATCAGAACTGCCTAATGTCAGCCACTGCAAGCATGCTGCAGTCTATCGGGGAAAACGTATTTTCCAACACACTTACCATGAAAGATCTGACTACCACATCTGGCATTTGAGGCAGCTGGTAGTGTAAGAGAGCAGTGGTCGCGTGATCTGTCACCTGTATCAGACAAAAGGAGAATATACCCTTATTCATGGTGCATTTCAGACAAAGCAGTGCTAATCTGCAGGGAAGCAGTACAAATTCCACGGGGAAGTAGCAAACCAATGATTACATGACTGTGAAGACCTTCTCATTCCATTCCCACTGTTAGCTTCATACAAGAATCAGTTGAAACAATCATGATAAATAACTTCATATGCATATAGTAAAATCCAATACAACTCTGCAAGTTCAAAAATGATAAATCTAATAAGTAAAAGACTCTAGACTGGTAGCTAATGCAAGTCAAGTGATGAGGAAGGCATCCAGCTCTATATCACAAGGAAAAATTACTAAACTAACACGCTGTGCTTCCCACTTTGAACTACCAATCCAGTGGTAAAAAGTAAAAAAAATAATCTTCTGTACCATATAAAATAAGAGCCTCCATAGCAAATAATTTTCCTAAATTTCAAACACCTACAGCATAAGAGCAGAATCTGTGCTTCTGGGATTGAAATCCATGTATTCTGTGAAAGCATAAACAAGCCAAGTCACTAGAGGAAAGCGCTTTGGTTTTCTCTTTAAATAGTCCCATTTTTTTTCTTTTTTTTTCTTTTTTTTTTCTTTTTTTTTAGAGAATAGATTCTCTTAATCTATGACGATTTGCACAACAAAAGAAAAACCATTGTCAATAATGCAGCTAAATTAAATACTTCTGGAAGATTACCTTATTAGAATAGAGGTTATGACTTCCAAAAAAAGCCAAAGCTTCAGTTCTGGTCTGTTTTATTAAAAACAAAACAAAACAAAACCCTGAATTGAAAATACATTTTAATGGAAAAATGAGTATCCTCTTCTCCATTTTTTTAAATGGGAAAACTTAAAATATTTAACTCTTGTAGTCCTATTTCAGGTTGCTTACATTGAACAAAAAGGAATCAAGCTCTCAGTTTCATTTCTTCTGAAACCAGGAATCAATTAATATGATTATGGTTTATAAATACTTGCATTAGCAACAGATTTCTGATAGAAAGCTTTTTAATTTCCCAGACACAGATATAACAAGATCTTACATCTGGGAATTACAGCTAGAACAATACATATAAACTGTATTTATAACAACAAGAATAATTAAAGAAAAAAAAAATCAAGAAAATCAACCAATGCTTTAATATATTTTTTTCCACTTAAAAAAAAAAATCACCACCACTATTTTTAACTGATTCTGGAGGGGGGTAGTTTCTGACAGCTATGATACAATTCACTAACAGCATTCAGTCTGTCAGCTTCCTAAGTTATTAGCACAGCCAACAGCTGGCTTCTCAGAAGTTCTAGGCTTAATGCAGAAATCCTTGGCAAAATTCTTCAGACTGGACTGGTAAAGAACTCAGACAACACAACCACAAGAGCTCTTTCATGTCTTGTAACTTGTAAGTCTATGAATGGTCCTCATCAGCAATATCAAAGCATCCAACAAACTACATGACTGTCTAGTTAGTGATTAAATTGTATATTCTAGTTTTAACATGGAGTAGTGGTGCTCTTCTCAGGGCTTGTCTATATATTTCCCAGGGCTTGTCTATATACACCATAGTAAATTTTGAGTAAGATAAAGTGTGAACTGAAATGACAATTGCTATTCCCAGCAAACTCCACTTGTTCCTGATTTGTATTTAGTCTAATTCAGCAGTGCGAATTGTGCTGAAGCACCCAAACGTTCACTGGAGAGAGAGATGCTCATGCTTAAAGCTATTCAGGGAGGTGAATCTGTGAAAGATGCATTCCTAAATAAATCCATGTATAGACAGGCTCTAATTCACACCACACAAACTTCCTCCGCTGAACACGACATCAAATCAGTCTGTCCTACATTGAATCTCGTTTTAACACAATTTTAGGAACAAGATTCTGCTCCCCATCATTCGTGCACAACTAACTCCAAAAGCAGCTCCATTCAGCATCAATAAGGATGTGTGATTCTGACATCTGGAAGGGAAAACTTTTGGGACCGTGCACATTCTGGTGAGTTTGCAAAAATATTCCCAAAGTGGACCTTGGCTCGCTTAAGCCATTTACACGTTACCATATAAAAAAATAACATTGGAAAGAAGGTGATTAACAGCGCGTTAATAGCACAGCACAACTCAAATCAGTCATTTCTTTTAAACACATCTCATGGAGCGTTCAGAAATGACTGTAGTCCAAGCCCTACTAGCTATGTGAATTTTTGTCTTTTAAGACGGTGCTTTTATAGGATAGTACCAGACATGTCAAAGAATAGAAAGTTCTGAAGATATTTATGAGCAGCCGCTCTCCTTCTGCTGTATTTCTACTTCTAACAAACTGTATTTTTTTCTTCCTAAACAACAAAGTTGTTTTTCTCTTGGCACTGAAGAAAGTTGCTTAAAAAAAAAAAAAATACTGCTATTAACAAATTTAAATTGACTGGCCACTTTGGCAAGTTGCACATATGCTGTTCCTATTGTAATGTAAAGCTAATGAGATTCCACAGGGAGATAAAAGCCATCCCAGCATTGCTAGAACATTAATAATGTTTTCTGAACAAAAAGGAGGTGATTTCTACCACAAGCAAGTTTGGATAAAGTGCTTCTAAAAAAGATCAAAGTAGGTGTCAAATCTGAGGAAGAGGAGTAGGGAAATGACCCCCCCCCACTCCCACCCCAGCAAAGAACATGATGTCAAACAGAAAAGAGTTGGGCAAATGATAAACTGCCCAGCGCGTGGGAGCGAAGGAAGAATTAAACTCCCCTAAGATAACACAGATGATGAGAGAAAGCACAAACTGGCCAAGATTAAAAAAGAGAAGGGAAAAAAAAAAAAAAAGAAAAAAAGTAAAAAAAAAAAGATCAATACCCAGCTTTACTAATGGCAATACGATTTCACACCAAAGCAAAGCAAAACAAACCGCATATGCGCCAGCTCACTTAGGGATATACTTTTTCTTCCAGCCAAATTGGAATCACAAACTAATTTATTCTGGGTGTAGGATGACATTTTGTACATTTCAGGGTTTTATTTTATTAACTTCACTTTTATTGCTCTACCTTACCTACTGCTACCTAAGTAATCGGTCACTTTCTAATTTCTCTACCTCTTTTTATGAGGGAATGTGTTCAGAAGAGCACACATTGATTGGTACGGCTGTTGCTCTGGACCTTGAAATAGATTTTGAAGAGATCTTGCAGAAAAGCTCAATATTTCACAATTCATATATTGAAAAGCACTTGGAATTTTTGTCTGAAAAAAAGGCAAGACAAGGCAATCTCCTGAAGCACAATTTTGCTAAAATAGCTATTGTTTAACTAAGCTCTTTGAGACAAAGCAAAAGAGACTTCAGTTACATGAAAAAAAAAAATCTGGCAAAGAGACTCAATTTGAACAAGAAAACTTCCCTTCTTATTAATAGTTAATTATATCACTTGAGATCTAACTTTTTTTCCTCCTTTTGCTTCCAAATTCAAGTGGACTATAACCATGTACTTCTTAAATGCATCCCTGCTCCCTTGTCTAGAGCACTCCATACATGAGGAATACAAAACAGACCGATGCTGGATCAAACCTCATCTTCATCGCGACTCTGTGCGAATTAAATCCTACGTACTTGTCACTCCTGGCTAACAACCAGGCCCCAGGAAGAGCAGGGCTGTCCGGGCACCGGCCTGCCGAGCCCACGCCGCTGCTCTGCTCCGCGGCACAGCGGGGAGACGTGGACTCCGGATGTCCCTCCCGACTGCTCAGCTCGCCTCAAAGTTACCAATAGTCATGACACCAACCCCCGGTGATGAGCTGGGTTATTTGTCTCAACCGAGCCAATACTACGACATTTCTCGACCCGCCTGAAAGTACTGCTCTGCTGAAATGTGCTTTCCAAAGGTGACACATCCAAAAAATGGCATTATTTGGTCTTGACGACACTTGTTAGTCATACAGCATTCCCAAAGCTGAAAATTCTTTTTTTAAAAAAAGACAAAAAAAAAAAGCATTCTACAGTTTACAGGTTGAGGAAGCTGAACAAGTGCTTCTTCTAACCAGAATAAGATCTATGGTATAGTGTTGCTCCACCATAAACTAGGTATGTTCCATAGATGCATGAAGCTATACCTGGCATAAAAACTAAAACATAAAAATATAAACATCACATGACTAAATTATAGAAGCTTTCTCTCTCTTCTAGTATTTTATCTCACTTCCAGCAAATACGCTTTTCAAAAGTAGGTGCAAAACTTCCTTTAAGAGTCATAACTTTCCTTGCCACTTAATATTGTTTTATTCCCTCAAGTATGGCACTGACAGCTCCATCTAATATAAAGGGATTCTCTAAATCCCCTGACAGTTTTTTAATTTTTTTTTTTTTTTCTAAACTCTGCTAAGTTCATGGCCTTAACAGTTGCCTGTAGGAATGAGTTCTGGAGCATGATCACAGCATTGAAAGGAAAAAAAAAAAAAGGAAGTTATTTTATTAGTGTTTAGACCTTTTATAGTGTGAAAAACTGCACGAGTGCCTTTGTTCGTTTCCAAGGATTCCTATTACCCAATCTTCTCTCCAGGACCGTGTTTGAGTCTCTCTGGAGGGAATCCGGTGCACGGAACGTGGTGCCTGAGGGGCGCTCGGAAGGATGATAGATGGTGCCTCTACAAACAGGCACTGATGAACTCCACACAAACCCTTTACACACCCTTCCCCACTCCCAATTCAGTAAAGCACTACCAGACTTTTCCGAAGCATAGGATTTATCACTTGTTTTCAGAGCTCACAGTGTGTTTAAGTTTTTATTTCGCTTGTTCTGCTTGTTTGCACCGGGTCATGGAGATTTTATTTCGCCCAAGCAGGTCTCTGAGCAGAGCCAAGTACTGATCACGCAGAGGAGCAATCATGCAGGTGACCCTGGAACAGTCCATCTCCTCTCCTTGAAGAGACATCATCAATAGCCCAATATTTGTCTCATGCATGCATTCATCCCGCACGTGATTTTCTTCTGAGATTATTGACAGGAATACATCTTCATACATTACAATACTTATGTGCCCTTGTAGTGGGGAAAATCGTGCTCCTGAGTTCCATCACTCTGGGATCACAGAGCTCACAAACAGGTGGACAGGCACAAACAGCTTCTTGAAGTTTGGGTTAAAACATGCTGTGGGAAGAAGCATATCAAGCCCAAACAAAAGCAGTTTGTGGCATGCTAAAACTGACAGATCATTTAGGTGAAAGTAAGAGTGGGACTCTGAGATCAGAATGAAATATATGCTTTTCAAGCCTATGCATATGACCTAAATTGCCAAAGTTATCATATTATACAGCAAAACCAGCTATGCTGCTCTTAACTGAGTAGCTTGATAAATGAACCAGTTAATGTTTGACCCCATCTCCCATTCTGATCCACCCATAGAAGTTCCACTATTCTATATTTTTGCCTCTTTTTTGAATGGAAAGTTATGAATATCACGTCATTCTCTACAATACATTATTTTTTTAATCCTCTGCACAATGACCTGGAACGATGCAGCACTCATGTACGCTCTTCTTCCCACCAAGATTTAAGACCCAAAATATTTCCAAACTTCCTGTTTCATTCCTCCTTTTGTGCTAGTGGATCAAGAGACACAAGGTGTTAAAATAAGGAGGTTTAAGATCAAAACAGTTGCCACTCCTGTGGAGTTTAAATGTCAGACCAACACGGAAGCCTGAAAAACCTTTTCTTTGCTCCTTGTGCTTTTGCCCTTTCAGCCTTCCCTCTCTTCTTTCCCAGCTCCATTCTCTGAATCCAACCCTGCTGCTGGACTCAATGCCTATAAAGCTTATTCACCCCAGGACCAGATTCAAGGAGTCTCCAGGGAACTTAGAAAATGACTGTACACTTTAACAGTAATGGGCCCTCCGGGAGCCGTCCCCCATCAAATTATACACACTCGGGTATCCTGCCTAATAAGGAGGAGAGAGAAAAGGCTTGCTGACACAGCCAACGTTTGCAAACAAAAAGTCAGGACAAATTTAGCTTCGTTTGACAGGGTTGGATTGAAGATCAGAGGTCTCTGGTCCTTAACCTAGAAAGTCACGCTGCAACCCTGTGAGAATCTGACATGCCTGCAGCTAACACTGGCAGGTATCTAGTGAGCTCCAGATGTTGCTGTATTATCAGTGAAGACAGGGCTGGAGAACTTGGTCCAGCTTTTAAAAGGGAACAGCCCTGCCCTTCAGAGAGGTGATTGATTTCACAGTGGCCAAGGCAGTGGAGCTGAAAGGGCCACCCAGCCTCCTTGGAGGGAGCAGTTACTCATCCGTATTGTTCCTTCTCAGCACAGCACTTCCACGCCGCGGTACTGGTGACTGCCAAGAGAAACACGCTTCAGGAACACTCCGATGTGCTCTGACACATTTACTGACAATTTTTTAATGGCAGGAAAACATTTGTTCTGAAGATCGTGCAGTACAGATCCCACACTAGTAACACAGCATAATAGTTTCTCTAACACTATTTTATCTATTTCCTTCATTTTGCTACTGCTAAATCACTGTTCCTGGGTATTACAAACGGACACAAGTGCAGGTTCAGAGAATAAAGAGAAAATCAAACCAAGCACAGCACCACAGAGAGAAAACTTACTATGCTGAACCACAGCATTTTCTACCATCTCTTTGAAAACTCGACTTAGGTCCTGGCCTTAACTACTTTACCTATCAGCTCAATAGTACAGAATCTATTGATTAGAAAGTACCATCACCTTGCATTTTCATCACATTTTTCATGCAAGATTCCGAGAGCACTACACAACCGATTCAGCAATAGCTCCTGTGAAGCTGACAAGTGTTACCCCAGCCTAAGGGATGCGGAAAACTGATGGAAAGAGAGGCCAAGTTGCCCGAGGTAACAGAGTGACAGAGCTGGGAACAAAATGTATAAAACTACTATAAAAAAATGCAGACAGCTGTTCATCTGGTTACAGGCAACCCTTTCTCTTGCAGTCTTTTTTTTTTTTTTGTAAATATTCATGCATTTGGTATTCTTTACAGAGAGGGAACTGGAGAACAGGAACTTAATTTTCATGTCGCATCACATTATTTTAAGGAATCAGGAAGAGAACAAAGATTCTTGTTTATCCATAATGCAGCTGCACAGGCAGCAGCAAGTGGGGCATTGCACTTTGTCACTGACCTCCTCCACTCTTGGTCTGAAGGCCATCACCTGGACCTGAAGAGAAATTTACTCTTCGTATTTACACTCCCCAAGTCCTTAACTTGGGCTCTTAAGCAAACCTGTACATTTACTCTACTTTGGTATCTTGCATATAGACAACTAAAATTATCCAACCAAAACCTCACAATTTATTATCATTTAGCACAAATCACGGCAATATGACTTAACCCTTCCAAGTTATTTTAAACTGAAACATCCAAGAAGATAATCTTATGCTCAAATGAGCTTAAAATCAAACACACATGGGGAAACTGAGATGATGCACTTAATTACAGAACCTTAAATTTATTTCATTGCAGAAATTACTTTAAGGCATACTGATAAACAAGTTACTAAGATATACGCTGTTTTACTTCCTGCTGTATTACCCTACTTGACATTAAATATTTTTGAGGACCAAGAAAAAAAGAAAGAATATTCAATCCACTAATCTCTGGGGTAAAGAATCAACTGCAGGAAATTTTTTCTTTAACACTAGGCAGACAGTGAGAGTAACCACCCTCCCCAAAAGCTGTCCCCTTTGATCTCTAGCAGGTTAATATCATAGGTCAAACGTCTTCCCTTCCGACCACATCTGCAATCTTGGAAGGAAGATGCACAAATACAGCCAATATGCCACACTTTTGACCCCTGTTTTTATGCCCTTTCGAGTCCCTGACCCCCATTTGTTACACAAACTACAAAAGTAGATGAAAGGAAGCTAGTGCACTAGCTGGAGACTCGAGCTCCTTGAACTGTGGCTTGAAGGTAAGGAAACTGGAATTTAAACCCAGATCCATCTGAACTTACAGTATTTTGACAAGAGACATTCAAAGAGAAATCCTCTCTTCCCTCCCCAGAAAATAGAGAGATACAGATCTTTCCAAAATACACTTTAACCTTCTTAGTAGTTTTATACTTATTGCCCCCATTCTCTCATTAGTCTTTTCTTACTTTCTGGAATGGCATTCACTTCAGTAAGTTATTCCTTTTGTTTACACCATCATGGGAAGAGAAGCAGGTAAAATAACATCATGGAAAAAATTTCCAAACTCATTTTGGAAAGCAAGTTCTACTGATTTATTAAACTCAAGCTCCCAGGAAAGGGGGGAAAACAAAAGCAATGAAAATAACAAAACAAAATCCAAATAAACCTGAAACAGTCCTTCCTCCCCAAAAAAATTTAAACTAAAAAAGAGTACTTGAAGATGCCTCATGAAATTTTAAGGCTAGAGTAGCATAATCTCCAATATCCTATTTCAAACCATGGACTGGAACTGTGATGGGAATGAAATCCAAATTAAACAACAGCAGAAGTGATCTCCTTTTCTACTCACAGTTTTCCATTATTACAGATTATTGTTTGTTAGTTGCAAGTTGTGATGACAAAGGAATAAATTCTGAGTTCTTTTACATAAGGGCCTAAATACTTAAAATAACGTCCATGTATCTCCTATATGCATTATGTAGAGAGAAACAATGTGGGACTTACCTTCTGAAAAACTTGGTAGTTGGATTTAGACCATATGTCAAGCTATATTGGGGGAGAAGAAAAAAAAAGCAAAATATTACTACATGTTGATTACTGAGAAAAACAAGTTAAGCAGCTGTTCCAATTAAAGAACAGGCAAACAGATCTATGGAGCTGCATTTCTCAGCTCACTACTTTGACCCATTGCCTTTACCTGTTGCGATCTGTCCTGGCTTTGGCTGGGATAGAGTTAATTTCTTCTTAGTCGCTAGAATAGCCTTGTGTTTTGGATTTAGTATGGGATTTGGCAAGAGGAGAATGTTGATGATATACTGATGCTTCCAGTTGTTGCTAAGAAATCAAGGCCCTTTCAACCTCCCGTGCTTTGCCAGCGTGCAGGTGCACAACAAGCCGGGAGGGAGCACGGCCGCAGCAAAGGACCCACAACTCCTATCTCAGGATTCCAGTTCAGGTTTAGGATTGAGGCCCAAACTGGCCAACGGAATATTCCATACCATGCAATGTCATGCTCAATAGAGATGAGGGTTGGGCAGGAAGCTTGCTCTCTTTTCCAGGATTGCGGTTTTGGGATTTCTCTCCTCTAGGATCACTAGCCAGGGCCGGGCCGGGCGCTGGTCAGTGGGTGGTGAGCAATTGTCATCACTCGTTTGTATATTCTATTATTATTTTTATTACTTTTATTTCAGTTATTAAATTGTTCTTATCTCAACCTACCACACTCCTCCCCTTTACCCCTTCGATTCTCTCCCTATCCCTGGAGGCAGAGGAGGGTGAGCGAGCAGCTGCGTGGTGTTTGGTTGCTGGCTGGGTTAAAACCACTGCACAATTCAAGAAAGGGAATTAATAACATGCAATTTCCTTTGCATTGCAATGAAGCATGAACATAGTTCATGACAGTTTCAGTAAAAAAAAAAAATTAGATATACACAAAGCCTGTTGAATTAACACATTCTCTTTAAAAAAGCAAAATCTTCATTTGTTTGAGGTTGTGGCTGATCTATGCAAATATTCATCAGCTTCAGTCTGTTTCTAAAATGAGGGCATTTTTACTAAGTTTATGCTTGTCTTGTGTCTGAATAAGTGATTCAGTTACAAATGACACAAAGAACGTTTAGCTGAATTAAGCCAAAGCAGTGGTCTACTGTGGCTAAACAAAACATCCCTTAGGAAACTGCATTTACATTTGCAGATGAAAATCACACTAAAAGAGATTTAAGGTTGCAGATAAACGCACACATCCACGACTTAAATGTGTGCTCAACTATAGACAAACTAAAAGAACAAAATTGAAGTAAGTTTTACTAACCCCAGAAACCAAAAGGTAAGGCCGTCGTTGTTAAACAGCCAAATGGCTCACATGTTAAACAATTTCAGCTGACATGCTAATGCTCTTTTAGCCCAGATCATGGAATATCTTGTACTCTCTCAAGGAAAAGCAGCAGGAAAAAACAAGAGGAATTTTCATCAGTCTCAGACTTGCAAATCCCTTTTTTTCCTCTACAGATACCCCTGTATTCAATAATTCCATATGCACAAAACTTGCCACAGGAAATGTGTCTGCTACAACATTAACCTCGGGAATCTTAATCTAGGCAAAAGAAAAAAAAATTGTGTGTTTTTGAAGCAGGTGTAGCTCCTCTAGTGCTTGATAATATGGTCAGACACTCACTTTACCACAATAGGGGTTTATCTCCTTTACTATATAGTACAATTGATTATTTTAATTCTGTCTTATGGTCCATAAGCTCTAGCTGAATTTGCAAGTCTTCCAAAAGGCACAAAAATTAGAGCCTGAAATGAAGGAAGTCATATGAAGTGAGTAAAACACACTAGAGAGGGGGGAAGGAGAAGGGGAAGGATGCTGAAGCCAAGTAATTAATTCACATTGCTAAAAAGGTTCAGAACGCTAAAAGTTCCCATTCTCTTCAGAGTGACACTTAAGTGTGACCCACTTCTAAATAATGGTACAGAAGTGACTCTGTACAGAGTCCCCAAACCTGAGTCTGGACAGGACGTGATGTTAAAGACTTTAAAAACCACTTCAAGATAGATGTTTCGTGGCTTAGCACTGCTGACCTTGCCGTGAGACAAAAGGCAGCTCGTGTCTCGATGCCTTTTCCAGGTTAGATGAAGACAGAAGTACCCTGAGGCATGTACCTACAAATCTTTTCCATTTACTGGGTCTTAGGGTGGGATCAAGAACCTGTATGAACACCAAACCCACTCGTACTCTACAGTCCACAAGCAGCAGTTCAGCCTGGACTTGGACCCAGTCTTGATTTAACAACAGACCTGTGCCTGCTGGGAAGGAAGCATCACATTTCCATATTAGAAAAATCTACATTTGAAAATAAAAAATTAATGCGTATTTAAAAAAAAACTGTTTTCATGTAATTTGAGGCTTTCTTTGGCTGCAGCAGAGTTGCTGTAATTGGAATGTATATATGGTTTTGCTAATTTCTAGTGATCAAACCAAGTATGTCATCCTCTCTAGTTAGACTCGAGATCTAAAAAAACATAAGTCCATTTCAGATGATGCACTAAGATGAGTTTAACAGGTTCTGTATGTTCATTAGCTGGCATGAAGATTGAAAAGCTGAAAGTAATGAATGTCTGTGACAGACATGATGTTATCCAAGTTAAAAAAAAAAAAAAGGAAAGAAAAAGAAAAAGGAAAAAAGAAAAAGCTACCAAACCCCCCAAACCACATGCATACATCCTAAATGACTGCCCACCTTTCCCCCCGAAACAGAGGATTAAGGCAGAGGCGGATTAAAGAATGTATCGTTATAGGTCTATTATTCTTCAACTTTTCACTTTCAATCAAGACACACATTTGTAACTAAAAAACTGCTGAAAGCACAATTTCAGGGCATCCTCTGCATGTGAATTAAACCGGGGCTTTTTTTCCCAGTGCCCCACTCTCCCCACCCACCCCCAGCATAAGTAACAAGAGGCCACTTTCTGAAGGTCGTCTGAACGATTTCAAAGGCGATAACAAATCAGAATGTTCCCTGCATCTAATATCAAACAGGTTCGGTGCCAACACTTATTAGAGAAATCGGATTCAACCCCCCCTTCACCCAAACACACACACGTCCAGCTTTGAAGTGGAAAGAATGCAGGGATCAGAAATTACCCGAGAGACAGCTCTGCCTGTCTTTGAAGCTTTCCTTTGATACTACTATTTCTTTTCCTCTTTTACGCTAGGAGGCTAAAAGCTGCCTTTTCTTATTGATATGGAGTAATTAATGAAGCCATAGCATTAACATAACCCAAGTTCCTTAACATGATAATTCAACAGAGACACTTATGTTTCTTTAGTTAAGTCTAACGGATGCAAAAATAGGAATTTGGCGAGGCAGCAACATTAAGTACCCACTCTAAATACGCCCTGTCAAGGTGGTTCTTGGTCTCTGCATCCAAAGCAAAGCACGGCATTGTTATGCCAAAAAATCCCAATATGTTTTTATTTTTATTGGCAGACTAGGGCTACTAATGGCTCAGCTGACAATACGCCTGCCCTGCAAGGGTGAGCTGCATAGCTTCATTTATTCAGGAATCAGGACAACACTAGTAATTAATTACTATCCATGGTTAAATTCCAGTGCACAATGAGTATGTCGAAGTTTGAAATTAAGGGTGGCATGGTGCCATCACTAAAACCATGGGGCTAATTAAAATGCATCAGTATGAGGTGGATGCAACGGGCTGGTACGGTAAGCAAGAGAGACTGCAGAGTGATCAGCATCCAGAATCCACAACACGGCAGAGGCTGCCAGATCTCACCTATTGTTTTTGCACAGTGTCACCAAAAACGTCTAAGTTATGCAGCTGGCAACGTGGCAAAGACATATTCTGCAGGGTTTGTGAATAATTCACGAGCGAAGTACATGAAGCACTTAGGAAATGCAATGATTCTTCGTCTGTATAAGCAAAGCTTGAAAATAAAACCCCAGAATGTAGTGTCTTATTTTACTCACTGCATGCTTAGACTGCTATTTTTCCACCTTAATTTTGAAAGTATTTAAGAGGGAGTACCCAATTTAACTAGACTTCAGTACAGCAGAAACCACGTGAAGCTTTCACCCAAGTACCTGTCAACCTACCCAGTAGAACATACAAGCACACGGCAAGCTAAGGCAACCTGGATAATGCAATGTCAGCTTCCCCATGTAACTGCTAGTATGCCACCATGCACAATCCCACAACCACGAGAAACACCCATATTTGTTTTACTTCTAGACTTGCCTGACTAATGGGCCAGAAGACTGGCTGTTTGCATTCATCTCTTCCCTTTTTCTTCCCAGTAACGTGAAATTTGCTAAAACAGTTGTACTTTCAGAGATAAATGATGACTCCCCTGACCTGCAAGCACATCACTGGCCTCTTCTGTGCACAGTCCATTTTTCACTTACTGTGTGCTCATTCAGTCTCCTGATGACAGCAGTTTCTTCTTGTGTTGAATATAGCTGAATAAATTTTGTTGCCCCAAACCCCACCCTACTTGGAGAAAGCCCCCCACTGAATGTCACTTTTGTTACTTAGAGGACCTTCTGACTTGTGCAGTTAGGAGAGTCACTCAATAGACCCTCATTCAGCTATTTAAGTGTAAAGAAGCACAAAGATTTATCCAGTGTCACTTCTTCAACATGGCTTATAGAAAAGACAGGAGCTTCAAAATCACCATATTGGATGATACCACCTAGTTAATCTCATTGCTGCTGTTTACAAATATTAAATGCTTCCTAAGAACCCTAAGAACACACAAGCAAACCGCCAAATCAGCAATTACTGTGTAAACTGCTCACTGGAAAAAGATCACCTCCTACTATGATCCTGAGGGTTCTCCATATTTTTGTTATTTAAATCTTCTCCTTTTTCATACTCTTCTGTGTCTCTTCTGAATGCTAGTGCATTTTTCCCCCTATCAGGCCAGAAAATAAGAAGCCAGAATAGTATGGCGAAACCTCACTGGAGTACTTTCCCAACAGCATCTGTTGTGACAGGGAAGGAATTGGAATGGACTGTGTTTGCAATTGACTGTAATCGCTCATTCCCAGCAGGCACAATAAGTAAAGCGAATCATTGCAAGAGCACAATCTTGTTCTTATTCTCCAATTACCAGTGTAGTTAATTAGTGAAAAAGAGGGAGCACACTGTTTGTCAATATGTGCTCCAGTTGGCACAACTAGCAAGCTACGCATTTATTCAGTCTTCCAAGCCAAATTTACTCGTGATTTAAGTGGCTACAACTCCAATCCTACTTAAGTCAAATGAAACGTTCCTATTTATACCTAAAACGCAGACCTTCAGGTTTGTGAAAGCCCTGGGATGGGCCAATGGAATAGCAACTGCCACGTAAAGGTCACAGGTTCACGCAGCCCCGTGGGAGCAGTCACATAGCCTAGCTTTGGACACAGAAAGCTGAATCGGCAGAAAAGAGACTCCCCTGCAGATTGGCTTAAAGCAAGAAAACAAGCCAGGTGTTAGCACCGATGCTCTGGAGAAGCTGAACTGCTCCCCACTGACAGCAGACAAAGGTTAGTGCCCTGTGCCCAAAGCTGGCCTTGGCGAGTCCCGCTCTCCCCCCTGCAGAAACGATGACAGAAATGGTATACGTCCCTCAAGAGAGTTAACCTTGAGCTAAACAGAAGCCCAATGCCAGATGCTGAGTTTCAGAAAGGAACTCCTTTACCTAGCTTTTCAGCACATATGGCATTATTGTATTTCAAGAGAGCTTCAAAGGAAACTGGATTCATCATAGAAAATGAGCACACCCAAATGGAGTGTGACACAGGAATCCATCACGCACTGTCAGTGCTCTTTAGGCAGACTATCATCTCACCTCCCAGCAGAACTTGGGGTGAAGAAGGGCTGGTGCTCTCAGTCTGTATTTATATGCTAACACACAGGGAGTGTGGTGCAGCTGCTTCTGCAGCAAAGTGGTATTTAAACCTGCATATTTGAATAATGCAAATCAAAATCAGGCAATTTTTATTTTACTACTTCTTAGGCGAATCCCCCACCCTGCCAGTGAGAATCTCTCACCTGGGAAATAAAGCTGTGCTATTTCCTTCAGCAGATCGGCTCCTGGCCTTTTCTAGGGAACAGAGGATCAGACTCAGAGCCGCTGAACCCTGGGTCAGTACACAACGTGCTTCTGTGTGCTACAACACAGTTATCACTTTTGAAGGGAAAAAGAGTCTCACCTCATTATAACATGGCCTATGGGTGCCAAGTACTCATCTTGATATAATGAACTTTTTATTTTAATAGGCTTCATAATCAGAAGAGAAAGCTCCAGAGAGAAAACGTGAAACATGGAGGTATTTAGTACTGTTACTGGCAAAGGAGAGTCCTGGCGGATGTCTCGGTAAGAGAGACCATTCCACCCCGAAAAGAGAAACAAGCCGAGCTGAAGGCCGTCATGTCCCATTAACATCTTCTGATGCGCTAAAGAGAGCCATATGGAGTGTCTGCAGTCGGAAGAAATCTGAGGTTCAAGCAGGGTGAATTGCTCATAAAACAAATCACTTGTGGAAACAGGTAACACTTACTTTAATAGCTGCTGTTCAAGATGTGCTATTACTGACAAGCAAATTATTGAGGACTACCTACCAATGGTTCGCACAGTTGCATTTATCAAGCTGAGCACAAAACCAGCCCAAGATTTCCCAATGGCTCTCAGAAAAGAGAAATCTGAACCTTCGGCTATTGATGCGCTGGTACACTGAAAAAAATGTTTTCTCAGTAGACACCATTAACGAGGCAACTGGGGTCTAAGGTGATAAATTAGAAATTCAAGCAAGGGCTTCAGAGCTTAGAAAGAAGTCAGATATTTGGGTATGAAAAATCCAGGCAAACCATGATAAATTTATACCTGAGCATTCTGCAAAACATCTACAGAGTCTTTTGACAGTTTTATGTTTCTAGTATACTTGTGATGGGAATCCTGTTCTCTGTTATTTAAACATCAGGTAAAAATAAAATTTAATCTGGCTGGATGTACAATAACCTACCTTGCCATCTTCAGTATAGACATTTTCATTGTACCCTTTTACTATGGTTCGGTCAATGAAGAGGCTCCGCATCACCACTATCACTTTTAACACTTTTCCTAAGGTAACCTGTGAAGAACAAGAGAAGGACAAAAACAAGCTGAAGGAAAGCTGATGGTGTATGAATCCACAAGACCATCAAGTTAATAGCTTAAGTTGATGCAATTTCAGCTTTCAATATTTTATAGACAGACCAAAATAAAATGTCTAAAAACACTCTGCGTGTTATGAGGAAGAGATAAACTATAAAGTACAGAACAAACAAACATTCATTTGCAACTGAAAATGTACGAATTCACAGAATTCCCTTGTGTAGACATGACACTGCCAAGCAACTCTCAATTTTATTAACACCACAACTCAATAACTTGTCAAAAACAATAAGCGAATGTGATTATTTTTGATGTATTTGATATTCTCCAATGTAAGTCCACTTCGAGAAAAATAATTTGAAAGAAGAATTGGATTCTTCTAATGCTAGCTCTTAAAAGCATGTCATGAGTTTAATGGAAAACATTTTAGATCCCATAAAAACGTAAAATTATTTAAAAGGAAACTACAGCTAAAAAGTAAAAATGTTACATTTTCAAAGGTTAAATTTTCTTCTGTGAAAGTGGTAAAGTGTAAAGAATAAAACTAGTATCATGGAAAATATAAAGGGTCAGTCAGAATATAACAACACAAACAAGCCTAAATTGTATTATTGACAAAAACGCAATAGTGAAGATATTTTAATCTAAAAATCAATTTACATTTCAAAGATGAACTTGCATTTCAATATTGTTAAGATGTGTGTCTAACAGTAATTCTGTGTTTTGTCATACAGAGATTATTAGTTTTTCCTCACCCACAAAAGCATAAAAAAGAGAGATAAAAAAGAAACAATTAGTTCACTTTAATATTTCCCAACCAGCAGCAGCTCATCTTCCATTGTCTGCGTTCCAACATTTTCTCCAGTACAGATTAACACACACTAGAATAATTGTGTTGTTACTGCTAACCTTAGCAGACAAATCCACACCCAAAGAAATCAGTCAATATGCATTTTCTTGATTTGTTACTTGTTTTTCCTTTTTAAGTCCTGCTAATGACTCCAACCTACCACCTTATTTCAACGTGAGTAACCTCAACCTGATGTTGACTACCTTAGAGACTAAAGGGCAAATTAACTATGAAGTGCCAAGTGATGCTCTTCCCCCCCAAGGAGGAAGACACGAAATCTGGCACAGACTCCATCTCAAAGCTCATGCAGGGACCATGCTGGAGGAGGGTTAGGAGTGGGAATGGTGGTAGGCACGGGGTGACAATACAGGACTTTTCAGAATGGATACCCACACTACTGTAAATGCTGCTTATTACAGCACTAGATAACAGGGCAGAGTTGCAAACCCTCAGAAGAGCTAATGACAATTCTTTGGCATGGGACATGAGGAAAGCAACTCCAGGACAGAAGAGTCTAAACAACAGGGAAGAACAAGTTGACAGTGAGAGAGGAGACAGGGAAACGAGAAGGGAAAAAAAGAGTCAATGATGGACTTCACGAAGACAGGCTGCTAAGTATAATTTTGCAAGAACACAAACACAAAAAGCAGGTCAGAAGAATGGGCAAAATTTTGAAGAAAAATGTTACAGGCTGAAATAGGGTAACTTGTACCAAGGCCTAAGCCATGTGCATACCATGAATGGCTTTTTCTGGTTCCTACCTTCTTACAAGGGATTGGGATTTTCTGAACATGTATGGAACTGCCTGGTGTTCTCAGGCAACCATATCATGGTATCAGGTACTGTGAATTTGGGTCCAAATGTAGTATCTTGCTGGGATACTCTGTAGTAAGACCTAGTTGGTCTACAAATAAAGGAAATTGGCAGAGTTATTTCAGCACCTACCACTGCCTCAATTAACTTAAAAATTATGCCATGACCTAGAGGTGTCCGATCTATGATGCTGATCATCCACTAGAATCAGAAAGACAGTCAGAAAGACAGTTTTGTCAGAACTGCTAACATGAGGAAATGGAGTCACTTTGAAAAAAGTTGTCAGCATACAGAGTTATGAGGTTTTTAAATTTATTCTTCTACCTTAGTAAGACTGGCACTTCACTAGGATATAGGTCTACTGAGAGAATTGACTCTTGATAACTTCACACTAGGCATCAACAACATACAGTAAAATTAAAAGGAGGAAAAGAGTAAATTTTAAATAAAACCAAAAGCAATCTTCTTCATTGAAGGGCACAAAGGCTGCCCCACAAACACCCAGGCCCAGCTTCATGTATAATATTTTCTGTCTCTGTTGCCTTCACACACCTTAGCGGACGCTCACTTCTTTCCTCTTCCCTTACGTTCTGTGTTCATGATATCTCACATTGCTGCCAGGTGGAAAAAAAATTGGATTAAGTTGATCTGAAGCCTGCGTGGGATGTTCCTGAAAATCCTCAGTGAACAGTGGAATGTAACAAGCTGAAAAAAATACCATGTTTGGCACTCCAGCTTGCTTGAATACACTTATTGCGGGCCTGAAACCTCCCCACAAGATCTACCTGCACAAATGCTTTCAAAATGCTTCTGCATTAGCTCGTGGCCTTTTCCCAGGTCATCTATTTTCATACCCTTCCAATGATTCACTCCACACTTTCAGAATCTGTCACAGCTACCCAGACCCCAGCTATCATCCGTCATGCAATACTAAAAGGTCAAATTCTGCAGGCTGGTCTGGGACAGTAAGCCTCAATCACCCACTTCCTTGAATGTCGAACAAAGCCCAGTTACACTGTCTTCCACATGTGTAAGGAGCTGTGTAAAACCATCCTTAGATGGATACCTAACACTACGAGCTCCCTAAGGAATACACTACTGTTGCAATCTCAACTTAGACAATGGTGTGTACAAAGGGGTCCTCTCCAGGAGTAGGGGCACCCAGGCATCATGGAAATACAAACGACTGATGGAATACATGGCAACTTTGGCCAGGTTGGTGCTAGGTTGTTTGCATTAGGTCTTACAGTGCTCTGGCACTGAAATAGAAAACTTTCCTATTTTGCACTGCTGTTGTTTTGATGTGAGATTCCTGTAGATCTCACGCTGGTTGGAAAAGAGATTGGGACTTTCAGATGATTTTTGCAGGACTGTACCATTAATGTCTGACAGAAGCAGAAATTTTGTAAAACTAAGCGTAGCTCAGAAATTATAGTTCATCATTTGAACAGCATTGAAAGAATGAGGCTAGTAGTACAAAGAATGAACAACTGCCTGTCACTAGACTGAAGGATGCTGTTAGATTGGGAAGCCAAAAGCATGCTCCACAGCTATTTTCAGGGTGAAGCACATTCTGTATTGTGCACGATAAATAGAATACAAGTCTTGATTATTAGAGGCAAAAATAAAAGGTAACTGTTTTCAGAAGTTAATGTTTTTGTCCACCTCAACCATATTTTACAAATCATGTTTTCCAGCAAACCATTTTCTTTCAATGGCTTCTCAACTTAGCTAACTGGAGTCCACGTTCAGAAAAGGTCTATGTATGGAATATAATTTACCCCTATAGTCATACAACTGTGTCCCTATAGCATCTGAAAGAAGGTAATAAAAAACTAATGGCTTTGGTAAAGAAGTAATTTGACAGTTCTACTCTAAGATCCAGTAGTGCAGGTCTTTCCTTTCTGGAAGTCAGGACTCACCCAGATGGTCCCTATTTAACGGGCACTAAAAACATCCCCTCACTTCCACAGATACCAACTGAAAGAAACTTCTTTCATTATACAGAAAAGATACCTTTCAATTGTGACAAAAAGGCAAAAATTTCCTTTCTAAGCCAACTTTTCCTATTAAATTTCAACATCTTCTGTCGATATCCTGTTAAGACAGCACTTGGCTTTTTAATATTTTGCCTGAAGGATATATGCCAACTTGTCCTTGATGTAGAAAATTTTAATTCAAATCAATACATGTACAAGGTCACTTTAAAATTCAATTAATATGAATGAAAAAATATGCCCCACAGTTCTGTGAGCTGAAAATGGAACAGTTGCAAGTTAAATACTTCTGTAGCTTCTGTTTTGGTCTATGTAATAACAACACACTTCTAACTTCCCTTTAGTTAAAGATACTAAATTCAGACGGTTAATTCATAAATCCCCTGCTTCCTAAAATGGCAAGCTGCAGAAGAAGGTAGGACAGGCAGCTGATTGAAATCTGCAATATTATGCAGCTTTTCTGACAAAGATACATCTATAAAAATAAAAATCTTGAAATATCCCACTTTTAAAAATATTTTGTCTATCACCAAGATAATTCTCAAAGAGCATATGACAGACACTGCATGCCAAGAAAGGGGGAGGGGGAAACGGAATAATCAGTGAGAATGGCTTAGATAATTTCTTGTACGACTGCTAAAAAAGTTCTTGTTTAACATCACTTACAATTGGAAAAGAAATAAGTACCTCTTCAAGTAAGTTAGGATGGGGGTCAAAATTAGTTTATGAAATGAAAAGGATCCAAATTAATTTATCATGCCAGAATTCTGCCAGGAGGAAATAGCTTGAAATCCCTCCCTTTAATTTTGCCTCCTCACTGAAAAGGATACTGAACGAAAAGCCCTTTTATGAACAATTTTAAAGAACGCATTAACAAACATTCTTTCTTCAAATTTATTTAAAAGTTTGATATCAGGAAAACATATGCTGACAACACCAACTCCAACACTTTGCAAAAAATTCCCAAAGCTCCAGATTTCCTCTCCGTATCCCAGGGAATTTGCTGCTGCTTTGAGCTGCAGATGCTCTGCAATGCAGAGCTAAAAGAAAGAAAACATTCTTTTCCGTTAACATGGTTAACACGGGTACTTCCCTGCTCGTCTAAAAAGGAGCACAGGTTTGCAGGGTTTTTTTATTCACCTCAGAAAACAGCACGGCAAGACCAAACCAGAGATGTAACCAAGCTGTGCAGGCTTCCAGCAAAAGGCCAGGCACCAGCTCCTTGCCACACAGCCAGCCACAAGCTTGTCCTCCCACCTGGGTAACTATCTGACTATTCAGTACAATGCCTGGAAATCATATATCTACCTATCTATC